ACCAACATCATCCTTTCCGGAGAGATCGTAAAAACTTGTTTAAAGGCAAGACTGTCAAAAGATTTCCACCACCTATTTGAAAGGCAAGATTGTCAAAAGATTTCCACCACCTTACAAAACAGGAGAGGAGATTTTGAACCAAATTTGTGACTTAGGGATAAGGAAAGTAACTGAGTTAGATGCAGAAGAGGTTAATCGAAGAATATGTAAGTCTTGTGGATAGAAAACGCAAAGTATCTGTTGGGATTTACCATATTGGAGTTCTATCATGATTTGACATAACGTTGATGTCATGCATATTGAGAAAAATGTCTTTGATAATGTATTTAACACGGTTCTTAATATTGTTGATAAAACCAAAGACAATTCACAATCACGTTTGGATATGGTAAACTATTGTGATCGACCTCAGTTGGCAAAGGATTCAAATGGTAAATACCCCAAAGCTGTATACACAATAGACAAGGAAGAAAAAGCTATCTTGTTTAATTGGGTCAAAGATTTGAAATTTCCAGATGGGTATGTTTCAAATTTGGGTAGATGTCCAGACACAAATACGAAAAAGCTATATGGCATGAAAAGTCATGATTGTCACGTGTTCATGCAAAGACTTTTGCCTATTGCTTTTCGTGAATTACTTCCTAGTAATGTGTGGCAAGCACTTACAGAGTTGAGCTTATTTTTTAAAGATCTTACTTCAACCACTCTACGAGTGGATGACATGGAGAGATTGGAAGCAGATATCCCACAAATTTTGTGTAAGTTAGAACGTATATTTCCTCCAGGGTTCTTTGACTCGATGGAACATTTGCCTGTGCACCTACCACATGAAGCAAAGATCACTGGACCTGTACAATATCGATGGATGTATCCTTTTGAAAGGTATGTGAAATTTTATGACAAAATGATGACAAGCATGTTATACTTGGTAATTCTAATATGATGGTACATTCATTTATTATCTATTAAGGTACCTTGGAACTCTTAAAAGGATGATTGGAAATAAAGCTAGTGTTGAGGGTTCTATTTGTGAAGCATACTTGATGACAGAGTCAACACTATTATTTTCTCATTATTTTGAACCTCATGTCATGACACGTAATCATAATGTGGACCGTAATGATGATGGTGGTATTACGGAGGATCTTGAAGGAAATCTATCAATATTCACCCATCCAGGTTGACTAGGGGAAGAGACAAGAAAAAGAAATTTATCACTTGATGAAATCAAGGCCGCTCAAACTTACATATTACTAAATTGTGAAGAGGTTGAGCCATTTGTGAGCTAGTATTTAAAATTTATTTTCACCTAATATTAGAAACATATTAATATATTATGACTTTCTATTTAACTTATTTTGTATTAATGAAGTATGTACGTGCAACGTTTGCAAGAAGAATCTCCCAATTTATCACAGTGTCAGATAGATGAGAGCCTTGAGGCATATTTTTCTATATGGTTTAAGGAATACGTAAGTCTCCAACGATCATTAACTTTGATATAGTAATGTAACCTAAATTGTCTTGTGAATTTAACTAAGTCTTTTTTTAAATAGGTCCGATGCAATCATATAGAGAATAAATTCTTGCGTAGCCTTGCTCATGGACCATTAATAGGCGCTACATGTCATTCAATGTATTTTGTTAATGGATACAAATTTCATACAGAATGTTATGGTAGCGCTAGATCAACAATGAACAGTGGAGTTTGTATCTCAGATCCAAACTTTGGTGATTACTATGGACGGATAAAAGAGATTATACAAGTGGAATACCGTGAAGAACCTTTAAAGCAAACTGTCTTATTCAAGTGTGAATGGTTTGACCCAACTATAGATGTTGGTGTGAAGAAGCATAATCAATACAAATTGATTGATGTTAACCAACGTCGTCGGTATAAAAAGTATGAACCTTTTATTCTTGCAATGCAAGCAACACAAGTGTGTTATGTCCCATATCCTAGCAAGAAAAAGGACAAGATTGATTGGCTAGCCGTATTGAAGGTTAAACCTCGTAATGTTGTGGAATTACCTGATGAGGAAGTGGCACCAATTTTTGTTTTCTGTACTATTACGTATTCAGCTTCACTATTGTGGGATGAGTTACTCTTTCTTCTCATGTTCTTTTCTACTTTCTTCACTTCTTAGATGTGCTGTAGTAGCTGCAATGATATCTGCTAGTATTGTTTTTCAGTTGCATTTATTTAGTTGATTATAGTTTTCCTCCCCCTATTTTGACTTTATATGTCTGAAATTTTACTTCGAAAAGACTGTTTAGTCATCTGTTTAAAATCTGCAGGAGATTCTAGCTCTAATTTTTAGTATGTCATATGCATGAAATTTAGTAACATTTGGGCATACTGATGAACTTTATTTAAAAATAATTGATCTTTTACAAGTGTTGATCTTACAATACTTACATATTTTGAAGATATGGCTCGAGGCAGAGGTCGAGGTAGTGCAGGTCGTGTAGGAAAATCCTCAGGTCGCGGTAATTCTGCTATTCCTCCAAAAATGCCTACTGTTCCTATTCCCACAACAGTTAGTCCTCAACAAGGTGGTACAAGTTCTAATATAGGTGGGCTTGATCGTACAAACCAAGTTCAAATACTAGGACCTAGCAGTACACCACCCGTTCAAATGCCAAATCACAATAATATTCCAACCATTGTTGAATCATCTCCTATTACACCTAATGAGAGTAATCAAATATGAGAGGGTACATCTACTCAAACAACACAATTGGTGAAGGTGAGTCCAATAATCGTGGGCAGCGGAGAACAGTTATTACTCTTACTCCTACAGGGTTAGTCCATGTTTATAGTATCATTAGTATATATATTTTTAATAAGATACATATGTATTTAAATAATGTCCTCAAATTTATATAGATTGGAGCCTTCTTCGACATGCTCTACTTTCATAGCTAAGTCTTTCAAAAATGAACTTGATCCCAATGGAATCAATTGGAAAGGTGTCTCGCAACCTGTAAAAGATTTTTATTTTGGAGAATTCAAGGTATGTTATTTCATTATAATTGAGTTTAAGAAAGTGATAAACTTTTTATAGATATGATATTAATGTTATTACTTTACAAACTAATTTCAGAAGGAATTCTATTGGGACTCTTCAACAAATGAAAATGCAGTATTCTAATATAGGTGGGCTTGATCGTACAAACCAAGTTCAAATACTAGGACCTAGCAGTACACCACCCGTTCAAATGCCAAATCACAATAATATTCCAACCATTGTTGAATCATCTCCTATTACACCTAATGAAAGTAATCAAATAGGAGAGGGTGCATCTACTCAAAGTAGCACAATTGGTGAAGGTGAGTCCAATAATCGTGGGCAGCGGAGAACAGTTGTTACTCTTACTCCTACAGGGTTAGTCCATGTTTATAGTATCATTAGTATATATATTTTTAATAAGATACATATGTATTTAAATAATTTCCTCAAATTTATATAGTTTGGAGCCTTCTTCGACATGCTCTACTTTCATAGCTAAGTCTTTCAAAAATGAACTTGATCCCAATGGAATCAATTGGAAAGGTGTCTTGCAACCTGTAAAAGATTTTTATTTTGGAGAATTCAAGGTATGTTATTTCATTATAATTGACTTTAAGAAAGTGATAAACTCTTTATAGATGTGATATTAATGTTATTACTTTACAAACTAATTTCAGAAGGAATTCTATTGGGACTCTTCAACAAATGAAAATGCAGTAAAAAGACAATGGGAGATTAAGGCATCACTACGATATAGAGATTTTATTTCCAAAATAAAAAAGAATGGAACTAATCCCGGATATGTAACTGATATTGTGTGGAAAAATTGGATGAGGCTTTGGCAAGCTCCTGAGAATGTTGCAAAGTCAGAAACAAATAAAAAAAATCGTCGTGGAGGAAGAGAAGTTGTTGTCGGAGCTCATACAGGTGGATCTATCTCTATTGGAGAGCATCGTAAGAAACTTGTAAGTATATATTTCACGCAATATATATTCTTCGACAAAATACATTTTCCTTATCTTCTAGTCATTACTAAAAGTCTATAGTACACAAATAGTAGAAGTGCCTTCTTTTTTTTTGTTCAATTATGTTTTGGGACTGTTGTTGCAGTGCATCTGTTTTGGTGCAACATACAATTGTTGTTGATGACACTTTTGATTTTTAAACTCTTAATTGTATTCTTTCTGATAGTAAATTTGGACATAAGGTGAACAAAATCAAATAGATAAATTGACATATACTTTTGCCTATTGTATAGGGTGATGGATGTCTTTAGCTAGAACTGTATGTTGGCTAGGAAAAACTTAAAATAGAAAGCCCCACATTATAATAGTTGGTTAGAGAAAATAAAAAGTTACAGGGAAAAATGTATAGATTTGAACGTTACATGTAAAAGCTTTGCTTGAATGTGTACAAAGATGTGAACTCTACCAAGATGGCATAAGAAAATGGAGATATATTCTGCCTGGGTATTTGGCTTGCGCTAGCACGTAATATAGTAAAATTAAGAGAGAGTAGGATGTACATAGACTTTATTTATACCTTTGTGAGATAAGAAATTGTTTCCGATAAATTCTCGGCTTAAATAAAAATATCCAACACATGAGTATAGGTACATATTATTTGTTCCGAAAATTTTCACCAGTACTACCTATACAAGCTTATTATAGTTAGTTGCCTTAGAATCTATTTTTTATTGTAAGAGCCTTAATGGGTCTTGCTTATAGAACAAGGGAGCTTAATATTTCAGATTGTCTTGTGACATTGCATGCAATAGATTGAATATGAATAACTTCTTATTATAGAACTTGATTTTTGAATATTAATCTGAATCTTTTTCTTTGTCACCAAGTACTATTCTGGACAGTTTTTGGCTCGTTGTCGCAGATTTTTGAATCTGAAACTTGCATAAGAAAGTTATGAAAGATATCTCAATTCTTACAAATGTTGGTTACTTCATCTTTAGAGGCACGATTTGAATTGTTAGCATTATTTCTGCCATAAGGGGAGACCTCAATTGTGTGTTCCTCACTAAAATTAAATAGAATTTTTGTGTTTATTGAAATACTTTACCTAATTATATCATATTGTTCATAACATAACTGGGGCAATTTTATTTTTTTGGGTAGGCTATTGAAAAGGGTCGAGACCTAACACCAAGTGAGCTCCATTTGCACGTCCACACACATGATCACGATGGAAATTCTTTTTGTTGATGAGCGAGCATGAATTGTTCATGTAAGTAGAATTTATAAAATTATCGACTTTTGATATTCATATTCTTTTTATTTGGAGAAACTGATAGTTAGTATTCTTTATTATAATTTTAATGTCTCTACTTATTGCAGGAAAGATATGAAGAAATATTACATGAGAAAATTGAGTCTGAATCTGATATTGATCAACGTGACACATATTATCAAGCTGCATGTGGAGAAAACAAGAGAAGAATATATGGTCTTGGAACTCAAGCAAAAAGTTACTACGGACCAAATCTTTGTATCTCTTCTCAATTTGATGCTTCATCATCTATACCACCATTTGTTTCTCAATTTGCACCGATGGAAAATATGGATGAGTTCGTGAAGAAATTGATTCCTACAATGACTGATCACATGATTCCTATATTACTTGAGCGCATACAAGGTGTAACTTCTTTACCATCACATCAATCAGTTGATACTCCTATTGGTGACGCATCATCAGCAACACATATGATGCCTAATAAGGTTGTTTCAGATGATGACCATATTTCTTCTCCCTAACATTAGTTTTTCATATCTGATTTTTGTTAAAGGAAAACAAATTATACAGTAACAATTACGAGTTCTAAACATTAGTAATTGCTAGATGTTTGATACTTGGTGTAGATGTTTTGGACTTAATATTAGATGAATATATGTTTTGGTGCACGCGTTATATATGAAGTAACATTTATGTTATCTGAATATTTGTTATTATTAGGATGTTTAATAATTTACATTTTCTATATATTATAAATAAATAAATAAAATGAATAGAAAGAATTATACCTACGACAAATTTAACGATGGAATATTGCGACGGATTTTGGGAATAGTTAAAGAATTAAAATTGGTGATGGATTGCGACAAATAATAATTGGTTGCCAAAAAGTTTGCGACGGATTAGCGATAAATTATTTTCGTCGTAAAAATTATAGGACGACGAATTCATTTATGTAATTTGCAACGAAATATATAAATCGAGCGACAAAACTTTTCGTCGCTACCATTTTACTACGGATATCAGATGTCACTAGATCGTCACTAATCTTGCTACGGAATTAATTTATCCGTCGCAAAGGGGTTAGCTATGAGAAAAATTATAACGGTCAACATTTCATCGCTAATCCGTCGCAAATATAGTTTAGCGATGGATATATGTCTATTTGCGACGGATTTATCGGTCGCTAAACACTATTTTTTTAGTAGTGATATTTACTTAGTAGTTTCTTTGTTATGTCATTTGAGAACTATTGTAAAGTATGTGTCCCTATTCGTTATTCGAATGTATTTAGATGGCTAAATGAGACAATGTCTAGACTCCCATTCTCTTTTATGAAAGACTTCGACTGTAAAGAAAATTTTTAATTCCGCATTATTCTATGAGTTTTATGTTTATGATATGCTAAGGGCTTGTATGCGACCCCTTCGGGGTCAAGTACGCCTTGTTACGTCTAGGGGGTACCCCTGGGTCGTGACTAACTTGGTATCAGAGCATAAAATTTTGGGATGATTTTAGGTTGATGTCTCATAAGCCACGTCTAGTAGAGTCTTGTTTATAGTGTGAAGCACACAACATTTATGAATGAGAGGCTACAAGATGATTAGGAAATCTCACTTCTTCATTCTCTAGTCGTGCCATAGAGTTTAACTCTATAAGGTCTTTCTCTCTAACCATTGGTTTTCAAGATGTGACTACTCAAAGGGCTCATGCTACTAGGACCAAAGGAGAAGATGTTGGTTGAAATGACAATTATGGCTATGTGACTACATAGGACTTGATATGCTAGATTTCTATGTCATCCTTAGGATAGATTGGTAGTGTTATTATTATTTTCCTAAGTGATTTTAGAACCCGTATAGTCAAATTGTTAGTCCCCGAATGAGCCTATCTGTGAGTGGAAGGGGGGAACTTTATGCCGTAAGTTTGGATTATGTTTTGTCTTAAGGTTGACTTTGAGGGTTGCATGTATGTCACGACCCAAGCCTAGGGCCTAGACGTGACCGGCGAATGGGGAACTCGAAGGAACCCCAAACAAGCCTCATAGCGTATCATTACACATCCTTGGTCACAGAAGCTAATTAAAATGACCATAAGCGATAAGCATAATCAAAAGGGGGAAATCGGGACTAAGGGAGCAAGAGAAAAAAAAGAAGAATGATACATAAATACCATAAATTAGTCAAGCTCAAGCATAATACACAACTTGTCCAACACCACCTCTAAACATGGGTACTTAGCGGGGGCCAAGACAAACTACCGGGCTCACCCTCATAGTCAATACATAACAAAAAGGAAAAGTCTTATACATAGCAAGAGATCATAAGCAACGTCCCCGGAATGGAGGACTCACCAATAACCTCGATAGAAAATCGTACTAGCCACGCGGAGGAGGATGGTCAAGCGATGCTCCGGTTCCTACACGGTGACATTCCTCGAATGAAATGCTTTTGAGAGTAAATTGCATATGAGCTCCATGGGCGTATGTTGAGCATTTTATGACTAGGAAATGGTAGTTTCTCCTTGAACATGACAAATTATGAGAATTTCATGCATAGTGGGTTTGTGGATGTAGTTCCTACTTCCTTGTGTATGCATTTGTTATGTTAAATTGGAGTTGATGTTTCCTACTTCGAGTTGTGCATTATTTTGATGTTTCATGCATGATGGGCTACTAGTCTTGAGTCCTTAATTCCATAAGGTGTCTAAATCGTCATTCGAGGATGAGTGTTCTCAAGGGGGAGATAATGTAACACCCGGTAAAACTAGTAAAACCAACCTAGAGCCTAACGTAAAACTAGTAGCCTATTTGGGGTTTAATGTAATGATTAGAGTCGTAAAATAGCCTCCGGTACTAAGAATAAATGTTTTTGGGTTTAAACGTCAAGGTACGAACCCCCCCCCCCAAGGACCAACCAAGGGTCCTTGGGGAGGACAAAGAGGCTGCCCAAAAAGCTGTCAAAAATAGCTTGACCTACGGATGGGCACACACGATCTGTGGGTGGACCCATGCCCCATAGGTGGGGGTCATGGGTCGAGACTTGGCCTCCCCTGGTTCACTTAGGTCAAGTGGTGATCCACGAACCAACCAGCACGCTCCGTGACTCCACCCACGGTCCGTGGGTGGGGGTTTCGTGAGTGAGGGCTGAAATGGTCCTTTAGTTTTTAAGTTGGGGATTAAGGAAGGGGCTTAGGGTTAATTACTTAATTATGTAGGGGCATTTTATACTAATTTAATAGACCTATATAAAGTATTTTATGTCATTAAACACCTCATTAATTCATTAAAACCCAAGACCCCAAATAAAATCCGAAATACTCTCATCTTCAAATATTCTCTCTCTAGAACTCCATTGAAGACCATGAAAAGAGATCAAGCTAGGGCTTGAAGAAGAGAACTTTTTCATACGAAATTGGTTGGATTCTACACCTAAGGTATGGTAGTTTTCATCCTTCGGTATCTATCACCCAAGGAGTCCCTTCAAAAGCTTTTATCTCAAATCTAGAAATCCCCAAAAGCTAGGGTTTCAACTCAACCCCATGGATTCCTTTCAAAGTTGATTTTAAAGGTTGAATTATGTTTATTTATGGATGTATTAATGATTTTATATGATTTTTAACTTGAATTCCTCAAGAATCCATGAGTTCCCCAATCCTAGATGATTTTTACATTAAAGAATGTTGTTGCAAGTTGGTCCAATTGATTGGATGTGAGTAGATTATGATGTGATTGCATGATTTTAGTATGATTCTACCTGTATACTTGATTAACCTAAGATTATAGGGTGAAATTGATGTGGCCTAGGGCTATGTCATGAAAGCGGGAAATTGAGGGTTTAGATGTGACTTTTAAAATTGATGAACTTCTTGATGAATTGCCTTAGATTAGATCACCTACACATGAATTTCTTATAAGTAAAGCTTGTAGATATGAACTAACTCGATTAGGGATTACATGATGAATCATGGTTGAAGTAGTATTTAGATTTAGTTTACTTGATGCTATATGACTACAATTGAGTAAGAATGAAGCATGTGGTTAATTTACCTTGAGAGTTAGGTTTAGATGATGACCATGTGAGGTATTGCTTTAGAGTAATGCTCATAATATGAAGATGACTCCTAGGGCTTTAAAGGTAAAAGCTAAAAGGAATGAACTATGAATGTTGATGCTTTAAGAAGGAAGCCATTGTGCATGTTGAATTGTATATGGTACTATTGTGGAATGACTTTGCCCACATGACCTACAATATGAGTATCAGAGCATATACATGCAATGAGTGAACTACTTGAATTACGATTATATCCATGCCTACTATAATAATGTTAGATGTGTTCATTTATATGGTCTATGATCCTTGAATGCAATATATGTGAATTATGCATCATTGTGATATTATGTACATGCTTATGAACACTTTGAGAGGGAAGTTTCTATGATGATAATGTTGTTGATGTGCTATTGCAAGGACAATCACACACACTCCATCATGATTATGATGTATCAATGGTGTTAATTGAAAGTATAGTTCTTATATGCACCTTTACACATTATTATGCATGAAATGTACATGACCATGATGATCCTATTGTGTTGATTGAAAGTCCATTCTCATGAAAACACATGATCTTGGTGTGAAAGGTTTACTCACCTACTAATAATGATTCTAAGGTTGAAAGTCCATTCTCACCTACATGAATCTATAAGCTATTTTATGAGTTGGGTTGAATAAAGGGTAAAATACTCCTTCAAACATGTAAATCCAATTCAAGACTAAACAAGTAATTTTGGAAAAATAATGCTTAGCACCTAGTGGATATGGAAAGTGAGGTAGAAGCCCTCCCGTCAATACAAGAGGTCGGGTTCTCTAAATTATTCTCATGAGATGGAAACTCCTTCGTCAATACAATAGGTCTGGTTTCTAGAAGCAATCTCCCTATCTCATAACTATGTGCCCACATAGGTCTTTAGCTAGTGGATCCACCTTAAAAGCTAATACATTTAGTTCTACCTTAGGCAAGTAGGTACACCCCTTTTTTGGTGTGGGGTTACATGACACCGGATTCCATGTAGCTCACATGGTCTATGTTGGTTAAGGCTATTTTCCCTCCATGAACAAGAAAGTGAGTTATGTGCTATGGTTCCTCAAAAGGGTCTACTTAGTAGGAATGGTATTATGGGATGCCATTCATACATGGCACAAGTAGACTTTGAGAGTAGAGATGGTGTGTTTCTCTTATGTAAATGAACTATGAACATGAAACATGAACTATGACTAATGACTCCTCAAGAAGATCTACTTAATGTGGGTGAGGGTATGAGACTTCACTCATACTTGGCACAAGTAGACTTTGAGAGTATCCATGGTGTGGTTTCATTACATTATGATGGTTCATGAATTAATGCATGCTCCATTTGGATTGTTGTTATGATTGACTTTCCTTGACATGAGCTAATGAATATGAATGTTTCCTTGTCTATGAG